CATCCTCCCGAGTAGATCAAGAGAACATGCTATCCAAAGCGGATCCGTTGAAGCCAAAGAGTAAGTCATCAAAGGAGGCCGGACCGCCATCTCCTTCTGGCACCCCCTGGAACCAGGCTGGGTTGCCACCAAAACCCGAGGGACCAAAGCTGGAAGCTTGGTTACACGCGGGCTGTGGGACTTGTTGAAAATGAACATCTGCTTGTGCCGGATCCGTTGAAGCTGCGTTAGGATCTTGACCTCTTGCAAAACTCTGAATGATCCCATCGATATCCGACCACCCTAATGGAGGTGTCTCGTTCCCGGGTGCTGTCTGAGGCGCATGGCTCTGAAATACTTGAGGCAGGCTATTTGAGCCTTCGGCATTGTCCTGAGTGGTGGCCATGGCTAAACGCGCTCTTTTGCTGGCTTGTATGCGGTTCCTCGGCTGTGTGCTTTGTTGCTCACCGAGACTAACACCAAGTCTCGCCATCAAGCCTTCGACTATTGTTTTGGCCCTCCTGACAGCCCAGTTTGTTTCTTGATTCTCACGGAACACTGACATGCAAGTTTCCAGACGTTCTCGAGCCTCCGATTCCGTGCTTCTTTTGGCAGCTATTCGTACGTGAATCGTTGCCGCAACGTACGTGGCATACGAGATCAAATATGGCGCATGACGAACGGAGAATACCCTATCGTAGACCCGAAGAACGCTCACTATACTGTCGGCCGCAGACGCACAAGTGATGAACGAGTTGACAGAGATGGAGCGAGACGTGTTGTAAAGATGGCCATCAGCTACGAACGGGCGATTGAGAAGGATGGTAAGAACATGGTACATGGCGCTGAGTAGAAGTCAGTCGATCATTATTTCTCAAAAAAGTATTCCATAGACTCACTGCAAACTAAGGACATGCGGTGGCGGCACAGCGTCATTGCTTTTTGGATCAAAGATAAGATGTGCTGGGAGTGCATCCTTCCAAGTTGCCAACTTCGAGCTCAAGGTCTGTAACATTGTGGAAAGCTCCGCAGCACTCTTGTCGAATGCCCTCTCCGTGTAGATGCAACTCAGTATATCGCTCATGACGACTGAGAGACGACACAGATACGTGAATGTCGACACACTATAGGCGGGCGAACCAGGATAGTTAGTGGCGTCGGTAGAGTAGGCAAACGGCTTCCAGTTCTCAAACTCTTCAAATGTGTCGAGGAACTTGATCGGTACCAGGGTGTCAGACTCTTTCAGGGATGCTGGACGCCCTTGATACAAACTCTGGATCTTGTCGACAACTCAAAATGGCGTCAGTATGCCTAAGCTTACTGAGATAATCCAAGTGCTCCTTACCGAATGCCCCCCAGAAGACCCGTCGTCGTATCTCTAGATCCTCATCGGAAAATTTGCGTGTTACACCAAGGCCTGGAGCATCTACATGCATGCCCAGGTCTATGATCATTCGGAATGCCAAACCAGCATACAACCAAGCCGCGCTTCTCTCATCCCCTAGCGCAAACAGCGAGTTCGTCATCACCAGCAAAGCTTGAATCGTTGTAATATCACTACTATCAAGCGCATCACCGAGTAATTTGCGCACACGCTCGCGAAAAGCCCAGCCGGCAGTACGAACATCATTGGGGTCCCTCCGTACCTCTCTTCGGGGGCTGAACTTGGAAGCCCCAAAGTAGATGGCGTTCAAGAGTATCTTGGAGAAGTATGGCCCATGACAGGCCATATCTCGCATGAATGCGGGTCGATAGGTGAGCAAGAATGAGTGATGCTGGCGATTCCAGTGCAGGGACAAGAGATGCATGCCAAGCTCTGGGTCCACGCCGTCAAAATCGAGCGTTCCCGCTCGATGATTGAACTCTTCAAGTTGACCTACGTACTGTTAGAGGCCAGACTTGTTGTACGAGGCTCTGGAGAATGCAACCCACGTTGTTTGGCTGTCTCTGCAACCAGGCCTTTCTCGATCCAGTCATCTGGCATCCGGGGGCGCAGATCAGCTACCGAGAATCGCTCCTGGGGATTCTCCTCGAATAATGCACTGGTGCGGCCATGGTAGCTCGAAACTCCATTTGCGGATACCACGATACGAGATACATCCCCGCGATGGGAAGATGCCCGTTCCGCTGAGTTCTCCGGGCGTTCTGTCCTGGTAAGCCGGGGTGAAGGGGTAGAAGGATCGTGGTCATCGGGGTTTGGTGAGCGCGCGGCGTCGTTGCGATCCGCGGGAGTGTCATTGCGTACACTACCATCCCGGACACTTGTCGGGGTGTGGGTTTCCCGTCTCGTGCCCCTCAAAGCATCTCTTTGGCGCTCGGCATGACGTCGTGTTGGTGTTGAGTGCAGTGTACTTGCGTCAGGGCTAGCCAGAGGCTCATAGACACAGTCTTTGCCATACGTCTTGCAATTAGCACACGTAGGCTGTTCGTTATTGCACTTGATCTGGAAGGCGATTAGACATCTCTACGGCGCTGTGAAGTTGAGAGTGACGAACTTTGCGCCGTCGGCAGAACGAGCATGCTTCGACGGCCCGCCTTCGGGGACGTCCGGAAGCCGTGGTGGCATTACCTGATTTCGGACCCATAGTGAGATGAGCGGGAATTGAGGAGTAAAGCAGTATCCGTGGATGGCTTGCTGGTGGACTCGAGAATGTTTGCTCCGGGGTGCTGTGGTTTTGGAAGAAAGCGAGCACGGGAAGCTTGCCGCGGGAAGAAGGTGACCTTGGAGTTACCAAGTCTGGACGGGCCGCGGGCTCGGGAAGGATTCTAATTGGCCGGGCTGGAGCATCGGCAGCCGTCTGCAAGTCCGTCTTCTTCCCGCGGGATCTCCAGAGTCGCCCTTGTCAAGAATGAACAAGGGGTCGGGAGGATCACAATCTGTGAGTGCGTTTTGTTTGAGTAACCAGAGTCATCTGGTGTTATCTTCCAATTGATAGAGATACTCGCCTTTCGTCATCGAAGCCGTGAACAACACCTCATGCGACCAGTCATCATCCCAACGCTTTCACCCACTTGATATTTTCATGTCTTTTCTTTTCTGCGTGGTTCGGTGACTTCTCCTCAATAAACTTCGAAGAAATTTATTCGATCGTTACTAGAGGTATTGAAGTTTCAAACAAACCATGGCATCTATCACTTCGACTGCTTCACCTGGCGGTGTCACCCTTACCACGACCCCGCCGCATAAGAAGTCTAAGTTAGCTGTTAAGCCCACAACGTCGCCAGGAGTATCTCTAATCTCGGGCGGCATTGCTGGAGCTGTTGAAGCTGCAACTACAGTAAGTGTTTTCAGGCTGCTTTGGTGCAGTCCTTATCATTACTCACGCTTACTTCAACCCCGCCCCAAAGTATCCCTTCGAGTTCGCAAAGACGAGAGCGCAGCTCCACTCGACAGGTGCCAAAAACCCATTCGCAGTACTGCTCCAAGTTGCTCGACAGGATGGGCCGAGAGCCATCTACACAGGCTGCTCAACACTGATCATTGTGAGACTTCTATGTTTGCTTCGCTGCGCAGTATGCTCACCCTCCATCCTTAGGGAACGACGTTCAAAGCCGGAGTACGCTTCCTGTCATTTGACTCTATCAGGAACTCCTTGATGGACGATGAGGGTCGCCTGACTCCGGCAAGGGGTATTCTAGCTGGTATGATTGCCGGATTTGTAGAAAGTGTTGTAGCGGTAACACCAACTGAGAGAGTGAAAACAGCACTGTAAGTATGATCAGCAACTCCCAAAATCAGATACACCTTGATTCAAGAACATTGATTTCGAGTGCTCGACTAATCAAAATAACAGCATTGACGATGCAAAGTCTGGTGCACGAAAGTACGCCGGTGGAACGAACGCTCTGGTCACGATGGTGAGAGAGCATGGATTCGCAGAGGTCTATCGAGGTCTCGTTTCTACTACTTTGAAGCAATCCGCCACCTCAGCGGTACGCATGGGATCATACAATGTGATCAGGGAACAGTCTAAGCAACATGGCTTACCGAACAACTCACTGATCACTTTTGGATCAGGGTCGGTTGCTGGCATTGTCACTGTCTATGCTACACAACCTTTCGACACTATCAAGACTAGAGCGCAGTCAGCTCGAGGGGCTGGAACACTGGAAGCGCTCCGTATGGTGCTTTCGGAAAGAGGCTTAAGGGGCCTGTGGAGTGGAAGCACCATGAGACTTGGTCGTCTGATTCTGAGTGGAGGAATTGTCTTCACTGTATACGAGAAAGTATCTGGCCTGTTAAGCCGTTGAGAAATCTCGGCGTGGCAAATCAAGGAATTCTGTAGGATTTCGCACCAGTTCTCTCCGTGTTATTATCAAAAGCACGCAGTCCTTGGACGAGTAGCAGCCCCACTGAAATGCAAGAAGTCTTCGAAAGCTGTGCTTCTTGACCAAACTCAACTTGCCTCAGCACATCCGAATCATGTCAATGTTTGCCTCACAAAATCCTGGCTAGGTCTGACACAGGCTTGTGTTTGTGTTGAAAATTTCCGTTTTCCCCAGATTCAAACCATTAGACTAGTTCAGGGCTACTAAAGGCAAGCGGGGCATTGGTTCCGGATAGGCGAGTCTGACGCAGCTGCATAAGAGCAGAGATGATGAAGTGGCGACAGAGAAGACGGGAAGAGTGGTGAACTGGACGTGGCCTGAGGAATTTTCGGCATCTCAGGAAACACTTCACATCGCTAGCATCTGTTCCGTGAAAGTAGCCTGCTGCGCCCACTCGACTGCCCGACCTCCCGCGGGAGCAGGCTGCTTACTCCCGTTCCCGTCTCACCCTAGTACGGATCCATGAACGATGTCGACGCGGGGTAGTCTGGAGTCCCCGGATTGCCAAGCTTCCCGGACAAGCTCATGGATAGATGAGCTCGCCAGTCTAAGTCGTATAAGTATAAAACAATGTCACAGGCTGGAGAGCTGAGTGGGAGTAGGAAGTCAAGACTCAAAGATATCAACCACGCTTATAAGCAATTTCAAGCTTCCACAGACTTGGATTTGACTCACTACTCAAGAGAACTACCATGATCTCCAACGATGAAGGTCGAGCGGTGGTAGAATGTGCTGGCAAAGATGCCACAAAATTTGAAGAGCTTGAAGACCCCACCAAGTCTTCTGATCCCTCCGTGGGGAAGCTTAGCCAGCAATACGACATAACTCCCAGAGATATCCAGAGCCGTTTCGAACATCTTCGTGAGTTAAGCGAAATCGATATGACAAGACTCAATAAGAGCGTTGTACGAAAGATTGATATGAGGATGATGCCTTGTATAACGCTCATGTTTCTCATGAGGCAAGTCAACCCCAGATGACGAGGTGTTCATTGCTAACACGAAATCAACTTTCCAGTTATCTCGACCGCATCAATGTTTCCAACGCAAGACTCAGTGGGATGCAGGATAACCTACATATGTCAGACACCATGTGGAACTTGGGCATCTCAACTTTTTACATCGGTTATCTTGTTGGACAATTACCTGGCAACTTGTGGTTGGCTAAGGCAAATCCAAGATGGTTTCTACCCTCGACGATGGTGGCCTGGGGAGCGGCAACTATCTGCACTCCCGCCCTCAAAAGGTCAGTGAGAAACGCAGAGAGCACAAGTTCTATGGAGTTTACTGACTCTCATCTAGTGGTGCCGGCTTCGCCGCTCTGCGCTTCTTCACCGGTCTGGCTGAAGCGCCGTTCTTTCCGGGAATCACACTGAGTAAGTGCAATATCTACCCCGATGGTCAGCTTTTGATCAGTGCTGACACGGGGTAGTGACTTCCTCCTGGTACACCAAGGAGGAGAGTCCTCTCAGAATGGCCATCTGGCACGCGGGAAACACCATATCCAACATCATCTCAGGCTTCCTTGCGGCAGGAATTCTCACTACAATGGGTGGTGTCTCGGGTCTGTATTCCTGGCAGTGGTTCTTTCTCATTGAAGGCATCGTGACGTTCCTGGTGGCTTTCTCTGCCTACGTTCTCCTCCCAGACTGGCCCCACAACACGCGGTTTCTGACTCCTGAGGAGAGAGAGATGGCGCAGTACCGTATCCTGTGCTCCAATGGAGGCAAAGAGGAAGCTGCCGGAGGCACTTGGGATGGTCTCAGAGATGCTGTCAAAGACCCTTTCACCTGGATCTTCTGCCTGTTGCATTTCTCCCTGGTCACTGCCCAAAGTTTTAAAGACTTCTTCCCTTCGGTAAGCTCTCTGACTCCCCAGCTGTCAGAGTTCATTCCAGGGTTCTCATGACTGACCATGTCTAGATCGTTAACACCTTTGACTTTGGCGAACTCACAACGTACTTCATTCAAGCTCCCCCGTATGCGTTCGCATTTGTGTTTGCATATGCTGTTGCCTGGTCGTCAGGTCGGAATCAAGAGTCTTTCTGGCACATCGTCCTACCTATCATTGGGAGTGCGGCTGGCTGTGCAGTCCTGATCTCAACCATGAACATTGGAGCTCGCTACTTTGGACTTTTCCTCCTTATTTCCGGCACATACAACGGTCTCAACCTGCAGCTGTCGTGGGAAACAACTGTCGTTCCAGCCCCTCGGAGCAAGAAGGCCGCACTCATCGCAATCGCCAACTGTATCAGCCAGGTCAGTCACTGGTTCAGTCCATACTTCTGGCCGCGTTCGCAGGAACCCTTCTACAGACTAGGCGGCGGTCTTGTACTGGTGGGTTGTGCTCTGGTTGTAACGTCAGCTGGCTTGGCGAAGTGGCGTGCGATCCGTCTGAATAAGAAACTGGATGAAGCTGAGGGTTACTCCGAGAACTCGGGGGTCGAAAGGGGTTGGAGATTTGCGTACTGACAAGGCCATGAGATTACGAGCGAGTCGATATAGATTGCTGTCGTCTCGCTACATGTGTGCTCAGAGGGGTTTCGGATATACACTACTCCAGTATCAATTTCTAGATAGAATTGGGCACTGCACCCATCTACTGGTTTATACTCAAATGCGTCTGCTGAACGATAGTGCCTCTGAAGCTCACGCTGTACTTGGTGCACGAGTCTACCGCGATGCCTTGACCAACCTATGTCACAATAGGTGGCAGTTCTGAGGACTTGGTAAAATCACAGGTCAGCGGGAATGCAGTGTTGGAGACCGCCAAGTGCAGCGATCGTTGACCATGCAGGGGTTCGGCAGAACTAGGCAGGATGTCATCCCAACTGAGATTACCGTCGTATTAGCTGCATCGTGTTTGCGTACAGTCGCCTAAAGCACCTCCACCTCTTGTTTTCGCTCTGATCATCCACCCATCAGGCCATGAAATACCACAGCCGTAAGCCATGTGGCTCATCGACACCACGAGTCTGAAGCTTCATGCTTTCATGCCTCCAGACCTCCCACCGTACGCCATACTATCTCATACCTGGGGATCCGGAGAAGTGACCTTCCAGGAGCTTGCAGGTCTAAATACTGCCAAAGAAAAAGCCGGCTACACCAAAATCCGGAAGACATGCGAGCTCGCCAGGCAGAATGGTCTGGAGTGGGCATGGGTGGACACCTGCTGTATCGACAAATCCTCAAGTGCCGAACTCTCGGAGGCGATCAACTCAATGTTCGAGTGGTACGAGCTTTCAGCCATCTGCTTTGCTCATCTCGCGGACCTACCCGTTGAGTCTCCCACGCTATGGATGTTCGAGTCTGGCATATACAAGCGCGCGTGTCGCTGGTTCGAACGCGGGTGGACCCTTCAAGAGCTCATTGCGCCCAAGACGCTCGAGTTCTTCGACTGCGAATGGAACTCGCGCGGCTTCAAGACCGACAGCGCCGTCCTGCGACAATTGTCAGCGATGACGGGGATACATGGCAAGACTGCCCGAGTACTCAAAAACAGCGCGGCAATCACCGAAGTTTGCATTGCGGAGAGAATGTCTTGGGCGTCAAAGAGGCGGACAACCCGGGTCGAAGACATAGCCTACTGCCTGCTCGGTCTCTTTCGCGTGAACATGCCCTTGCTCTATGGAGAGGGGTCGCGAGCTTTCATGCGACTTCAGGAAGAAATTCTTAAGAACAGCACTGACATGTCTCTCTTCTGTTGGACCGCGCCCCAGGAAGCCTCGCAGCAGTACCGCGGGTTGCTAGCCCGCCATCCATCGGAATTTGCGTCATGGTACGATACAGAATCTACCTCGCGAAAGTCCATCAGCTGGGCCATGTGCGAGCAAGAGAAGGAATTCTCATCGACCAACAAGGGGATCCGAATGGATGCAACTTTGGCGAGTTTCTTTGTTCATGGCGAGAACAGAACGTGTCTAAGATGTACGCTTTTCCCAGACGACTATGTCGTCTTCATACCGCTACGATACCACCGGGACAACATCTACGTTAGAGAACTTCCTACTACGATCATCCCTTCACGTACGACACGGCACGAGCAGGAAACGATATACATCGCCAAGGACGTGGATGAGCGTATGTCGATCAATCTGCAGGCCAAGATGGCGGAGACTCTGAGCATCGACAGGTCCCTACTTCCGGCCAACTTCTCGTTGGAGATGATGGAGACCTGGCCCAAGAACTTGTGGCAGTCACAGAGACAGCATTATGCCCTGCCCGGATCAAAGCTATTTACTTGCATCACTTCATACAGCGTCAATTTTAAAACTGTCAAGGTCGGTGAGGTGTGTCTTATTTGCCAGCGACATTCTTCTGCTCTACAGCCTTTACGTTACGCCTTGATCCCTTTACAAGAAGCAACCGGCCGTGCCGGCATTATGTCGCAGATAAGAGATCACGAGAGCAGTGGTGCCCGAGGGCAACCCACTGAAGCCTTTAGTTTGATGGAGCAATTCATCATTGATGGCCGTCAGGCAGTGGACCTTTCGCACGGGAATCTCAGCTTCTCACTCTTCGTAACGCGATACTCCGAGACCGAGGAGAGCAACGACAAACTGTATTTGAAGGTCACTTCTTTCCAGGACCTTCTTCATCCACTGCCTATCAGGAAATCGAAGACCATATCGATCAGCGATGGCAAGGGCCCCGGTCATCGCCTCGAACGTGCTCCTCAAATCGGAGGGGATGGCGCCGTAGTACAGCCACCGAAACCATGCGACATAGCGGAAGCGGAGCGGGAGAACTCTGGATAACTCAGAGTGGGTATATTTACCATTAACACATCGCTTCTTTTGAAGCACGAACTCTCTCGTACGATGCCCTGCTCTTCTGCATGCTATCACTCTAGCATGACAGCCATCCAGACCATCATCCCGAATTCATCGATCCCCTCGCACCACTTTGCGACTCGGGCTACCAGCTGGTCCTCCTGGCTTCGATCTTCAGAGTCCGCCCCCAAAGCCCGTCTAGCCTTTCGAAGATCCTGGATGCTCAGAACCTTTTCATCGCACGACTCGGCTCGTAGCCTCCTGTATCGTGCACGCCACTCGTCACTGGACACGGCTTCCCACAAATCTCTGCCGGAGGGCAGTGGCAGGAGACTATAGCCACCGCAATCCGCCGGTTCCTCTGCGTTCAGATCCACGTCCATCAAAAGCTCAATGCCAAATAGAAGGCAGATTGTCCTGCGGTCCCTTGCTATTAGCGAAACTTATCAGATTGACTCAGTCTCTCGAAACCCACCTCCTGGTACTCTCACGAAGAATCCAGCCTCGACGATCTAGACTTAGCTTGCTGATCAGGTCGAGTTCGTAATTCAGGGTCAGGTGCAGCGACCTGGCTAGCAGCTGCTCTGGTTAGCAATAGCACTTGGCTATCTCCTGGCTTCTTACATTGGGTACCACTAGTAGCGCTTTGATGTTGCTTTCTTGTATTGATTGGAGGTCATTTGCCTGAAGCAGCAGATATATCACCACGGCCTGGAGAGCGTGTAACATCTGTTCGCTGTTATAAGAAGAATGCTGTTCAACCTCATGTTAACTAGTGAGATGACAACTCGTGGCAAAGCGCTGACCTCTCACCTCTTGCCTGATCCTGCCTACTTCACTGTATATACTCCTCCAAACAAAAGCCGCGCTTCCCGGAGTCCTCTGATAAAAGCTTTGCACGAGGTTGCAGCAGATGGCTAGCGGCTCTGGAAGACACTGGTGAAGCTCCTTGCCACAACATCCAGCTATTGACTCAGATCCGTCAATGGCGCAGGGTGTGAATATGAAAGGCGGCATCCGGCCACCTTTGATCATCATCCTGGGATAAGATAAGATCTGGCCGAGGAGGACTCTGGCTGTGAAGCATGTTGCCACCGTTTTAGTAATTCGCGGGACGAGGGGTTTGTCTTGATAGAATGGCCGGAGTTTCCTTGCCGGACAATCCCTGAAAGTCCTGTGTAACTGGATTTCACTTGAAGGATTTTCGTGATCTTGATATTCCGTGTCATCCATGACGCCTAAATCACCAAGGTCCTCTGGTCCGAATAGGCTCGAGTTACTTCGCTGCCACGGAACTCCGGCACCGCCAAGCACCGCCTGGCGAAGTTGAGGCGAGTCGAAGCTCAAGGAGAAGGGATTTGGACTTAGGAGTTGTCTCTGTAAAATAGGGTCAGAGTCTAAAGGGATCGTCGCAATTTCCGTTGACAAGAGGTTCGACCAGTCCATCGACGGTTCACGTTCGGGCCGCGGGTGGTCCCCCGGAAGCAGGCCGTCTCTCTCGATGCGGATCAGTGACTCCTTGCCATTGGGAAGCTGATCAAGTGCTCCGTGAACACCGCGGTCAGCGATTGTTTCGGCCGGACGCAGTGATCGGTATCCAGCTGATTGCTTGGGGACGTGGTCGTATCTACACCTCAAATCCCTTTCCTCACAGCGCCGGCATGGTGTCCCGAGCGAACACCTCGCCTTACTGGTCCGGCACAGAACGCAAGACTTTTTCCTGCTGGCAGCCAATGTCATCTCGAGTAAAACGCCAGAGATATGAATTGAATCAACCATTAAGCAAAATGACGAGGTTAAGTTTGCGCGTAGAATCTAGGTTCAGCTGGACCTGGTTCAATCTCGGGGTTTGTCATCACTCCGCGGAGTTCCAGCCAATCACTGCTGACCGGCTCGCCGTGTCCGGAAGCCACCCCACTACTCCGCTCCGCGGGAATGACAATGATACCCCGGGCACAATCGTACGTTTGGATGATAGACTTCGGGACGAAGCGACATCTCCGCCATGTCGCGGTGTGAAGCCACGCAGATTCATTTTCGGAAATCCGACGAATCGGGCATCCAGGCGAGAAGGCGCTGAATCAATTGCATCAGGCCCACCGGCGACCGCTTACATGAGCCGCCAGTTGTTATTGGTAGATTGTCTGGACAGAGATGGATAAGTTCTTGGTAGATATAAAGAACGATGCCGTGATAATCAAGGCCCTGAATATTCAGCATTGCAATCTCATTCACTGAACAGAGGACTTACACCAAACTCATCTTCCATTCCACCTAAACTCCCAACCAGTGATCATGGCCCCCATCAGAGTAGGCATTATCGGACTCTCCGCAAAGGAGGCAGTCACTGGCCCAGGCGCCTGGGCCTCCATCGCCATCCTCCCCTCCTTCAAGAACTCGCTACACTACGAGATTGTTGCCCTCTGCAACTCGTCCGCGGAAGCAGCCCGCCGCTCCATCGAGATGCATAAGCTTCCGAGCACGACCAAAGCATACGGCGACGTCGAGCAGCTGGCCAGCGACCCGGATGTGGATCTCGTCGTCGTAAGCGTCGTCGTGACCAAGCACCTCGCCGTCACTCTCCCCGCGCTCGCCAACAGGAAGCAAGTCTTTGTCGAGTGGCCCCTTGGCGCCTCGGCGCAGGAGGCGGAACAGCTCACGCAGCTGGCCAAGTCAGGCGGACTCAAGACCATTGTTGGTCTCCAGGGTCGCTCTGACGCTCTCACTCTCAAGCTGAGGGAGATCATTCAGAGTGGGGAGATTGGTGAGATCAAGCACACTTCTGTCGCCGGCACTCTCCCATACTTTCCTCCCAACTTCTGGGTGGAGGGTGCGGAGTACTATCTCGATATCAAAACCGGAGGTAACGCATTCCACATCGGCTTTGGGCATTGTAAGTTACTCCATCTCTGTTGAGAGATTCTGACGAAGTTGGTAATATCGAAGGCTGATATTCTTGGAACACAGTCTTGGACTCGTTCACAAACGTTGTTGGCGACTTCGATCTCAGCAGCCTGTCGTCAGTTCTAAAGAGCGACGTCGACTCCGTCCCCCTATACAAAGCCGACAGAAGCAGCGTGATCGACCCAGCGTACCCAAAGTCCTCTCCCGATCACATCTTGATCCAAGGCGTGCTGCAAAACGGGGCAGTGGCCTCGATTGCCTGCCGAACCACCCCGGTCACGGTCGGTGAGGTCGGTGCTCGCTGGATCATCAGCGGCACCAAGGGGGAAATCGAGGCCGTCTGGGACGGAGGCCAGTGGCAGATCCACAGCCCCAGCAAGCAACTCAAGTACAAGTTAGTCGGAGGAGAAGAGCAAAAGGTCATTCTCGAGACCGGCAAGCTCCCTGACGGAGTCGAGGTTTCGGCCGCGGGACTGAACACGCTCCTCATTTTTGACGCCTACGCCAAAGGCGATACTTCACGGTATGCGGACTTTGAGACAGCTCTGAAGAACCATGTGCTTTTGGAGACGATTTTGAAGAAGTCGGGGTACAAGTATTGAGAAGTGAGCTGCTCATGTTCAATCCAGCATGTGGGCACGATAGTATGTAGTTGATAGACACCTAAACATCTACGCGGTAGTCTCACATAATTCTCTTCTCAGATATACATTTCAGTTTTGAGTTGCTACCTTTCATGGTCGATGTCGTGCGTCGCAAGTGACTTCTAGACCAGCCGCCGGTGGATCGCAGCCAAAGTTCGGCACCGACGCCGACGCCGGCGTTGACGCCCGAAACGTGGATCCCGTGACAAATCTCCTCCGAAGATCTGACTCGGCGCAGCTGCCGAGACTTCACGACTTCACTCACAGCGCCCAACAAATCACAGTTGGCGTTTTTTCATACTTGAGATTCCGATTGAAGGTAATTGTGTTTGCTCGTCCCGTAGGATACCAAATCAAAGTAAGACAGACGTCTATCACCCGAAATGAGAGAAGAAGACTTGCAAGGTCAGCCCAACATCCCCAACAACACGTGGTTCATAGACTTACACCCGAAACAGGATCCGGGGGCGCGATCGCCAGTGCGCCAGGAGGAGCAACACCTCCAAAGGCAGACAAACCCAAACACATCGCCATCCTAGACACCGACGTAATGGTCACAGCCGTCCAAACCCTCTACGGACAATACTACAGCGCCCAATACATCAAACGCCTCACCGCCGCCGCAACCCGCATCGGAGCCTCCCACCTCGTCACCTTCACGACCTGGGACGTCGTCGCAGGCCACTACCCGAACCCAGCCGACGTCGACGCTATCCTCATCACGGGCTCCATCGCCGCCGCCTACGACACGGACCCCTGGGTCCTCCGCCTCGGCGACTTCATCCGGCGCGTCTACGAGCACCACCCCAACGTCCGCATCTTTGGCACCTGCTTCGGCCACCAGCTCATCGGCAAAGTCCTCCTCGAGCCCCACGGCGCCGTTGTGGAAAAGGACCCCAACGGCTATGAGTTTGGCGTCCAGACCATCTCGTTGAACCCGAAACTCGTAGAGGACTTTCCCTGCCTGGCCGCTCTTGCGCCCACGACAAGAACGACAGAGTCAGAACAGGACGCTGGCTCTTCATCATCACCACCCCCTCACGGTCTCCGGCTACAAATGTGCCACGGCGACCACGTAGCCCTCGCCCCGCCACCTAACCCACCTCTTCCAGGAACCTGGCAAAACATCGGCGGCAGCGCGCACTGCAGGGTTCAGGGCCTGTACGAGCCCTCTCGCGTCCTCACGATCCAGCCCCATTTCGAGTGCGACCAGGTCATCATGGAAGAGACCATTAAGCACTTTTACACGCCCGCCAAGGGGTTCTCGCCAGAGTTTCTGCAGCGGGCGTTTGACGCGACGAGGAGGGAGAACGACGCGGGTGTTGCTGCGGAGTGGGTGTTTCGATTCTTGGTTGGTATCTGATGCCCCGGGGGTGGGCGTTTTTTTCTTTCTAAAGGGGGACTTCTTGACTTTAAAGGAGAAAAAAAAACTCATTCTATCACGAGTGATTCTGGTATGATTGCTTCTCGAAAGCGGTGGGCAGTGGCGGATGGCAAGGTTGCGGTTCAGGGGGTTTTGATAGAGCTCTGTCATATGCGCGGCCTCAGTTGCCTTGTATGGACCGTATGACTGTACCCACACCAACATAGACACCAGGATCACAGAATACTCCAGTAGTCTTCTAAAGGCTCCATTCTTTTCAGTAGGACTTGGTGCCTGTGAAAGAATCTCGTTCTTGAAGTGAAGCAAACAGTCAGCTGGCACTCAACTTCTCAGTCTTCCTAGACCCCTTTCCGAATAGCTTCAACCACATACGACCATACCCATTGGAAAATTCGGGATCCCGTCCGCTCTCCCATAGACAAGCTAATGAGGGCCGGATTAGTAGTTGGGTCGGTGACGACCAGCGAATACCTGGTGTTGTATGTCTTCTTTACTTTTGCTTCTTTTGCTGAAGCAGGTCGGTGTCAATAGCCTGGTGGGACACCGCTTTTTGCTCTTCCAGATCCCTTCTTCACTGGAAGCACATTCAGAAACACAACACTAGAGACGGGAACGGATTCCAAGTCTCAGAAGAACTACGGGCACCAAAAGCAATGTGAAGCTCCAGACTCAAATAGCATGGACAATTTAAGGTCGATTGGCTGTAAGTATTAGGCCGCCCTTGATACTGGGCAACGGGAGTGTGTGAGCAAGTAAGTAGGAGTCCAGGGATCGTGTACCTAAGCTCAGCCAAGAGGATACCAGCGAGATTGAATAGAGCTTTAATTGCTGATCAGACTTTACTTGATGAGCCGAATCGCCTGTGTCGTCTCCCGAGTCGTTTAGAGCCTTTCTCAGTAACTATATCACCGCGATTGTCGCCCTCGTTGCGAAGCCTTTCGAGCAAAGGACCTTTCCAACTTTGCCCCTCTTTTTGATCCATGAGCACATGTCTGAGTTCGCTTTTTCTAACGGGCCAGGGAATACGAATCTTCAGGAAGTCGCGCAGAGCAAGATAGTCCTGGCGCCTCCGGCTTGCGAACTTGGCCATGTGTTTCTCAAGACGGAGCAAATGGAGTCGGCGCTCATCCTCTTCCCTAGAGGTCGGAGTTAATCAGCTATCCTTCTCAAATTCCGTAATGGGGTGCGTGTTGTATCCATGGGGAGGACACCTCTAATATATTGCACCCCCTCATGGATACAACACCCAGTGTCCCAAGCACTTACAGCTCAAGTGTGCCATCTGCATCTGGTAGTCTCATCAGACCGTGGAGGTCCCGGATAGAATGCGCTTTCGCAAACACCAACCAGGATTGAATTCGAGGATGTGTCATAATCCGCGCCACAGAGTTGAACTCGTCAGCAAGTTCTTCGTTTGGAATGGCTCTGTGTAAATTTATGTGGCAGGGAAGGCAAAGTTCCAGCAACTCGTTCATCTCTTCAATAGTGAATCGGTCGCGATCACGTTGACTTCTCGGAATGACATGGTGTCTTTGGACTTTATGTGACTCCCGCTCACAGAGGTCACAAAACCCTTGTACATTATGGCCTTCATCCGGATGTGAAACCAGTCCTCTCAGCCAGTAGAGCCAATCCCGGATATAGTTCACTTCATGACGGTGTTCAACTGTCTCCGTAGACAGTTCTTTCAGGATATCATCAAAATCCCGCAAGGCTTCCTTGGCTAGATTAGTAGGGCGACTTTGTTTCATTGCCAGGAAATTAGCATATTTTTCCCTGAGACGTTCTTTGGGGCTAGGTCCTCCTTC